GTTGTTTCTGCTTTCCTCTCTGCGGGCAACTCGAAGACTACTTAAAGAATTATATTTGAATCCCACCCTCGGTTCTCCATGAATCGCGATCGCTTAACGTGGCTTTCTTTGCCATTTTGAAACAATCGTCCAGGTTGGTTCAAAATTACCATTTTCCGGTCTTGCCTATCTCATTTTTTTAGGTTGGTTGGAATGGCTCAGTGCCGCAATGCATGGACGCTGAACCGCCGTCTTTCCAAAACTGTCCTCTAAGTCCAATATATGCAGAAACAGATGAGAACGGTCAAATAAAACCGATTCGTTATGAAGAGCCAAAGGCTGAGGATAACAGCGGAAGGGTAAGTGGGAATTTATGAATCAGTCAGGTAAATAATAATGCGGCAGCCTGCATGAAGCATGCTCCGTCGTAATTGTTCCGAAACTCTTGTAGTTGGGATGATCTCTCCCCATTGTCCTTAAAGTCATATAATTTCAGGTTGCTTACATGCGAGTAGAACCATTTGGATTCACATCTGGTCGAATGATCACCTCGGATATCGATGTTGTCTACACGGCGTTCGACGATGCTGGTAACACAGCAGAGTGTGTGGTGAAACTACGGATCCCTGGTTAGTGCTGACCACTATTTTTACTCGAGGAGTTCCCACGGTTATCTCCCCTGCGCTACCCATGGAGTCGTGGGTCCCTTCTGCAGGTTAGAAGGACTGTGGAAGGGAAGATTGTGGCAGGATGTTTGACCAAAGCGCGAAAGAACCGCTACAAATATCTGCTTCCTCCAATTAGCTTCACGGCCGATGAAAGCTCCGGTGTCGATTGCGAATACTACTGTACTGGAACACTCCCAACATGACCCCTCTACACATTTTTTCCCCACCACTTTGCTCTATCATTTCCCGACTCCTTTCAGCACTGCCGCCGGTGTCCTCGCGAGCGGGGTAGACGGAGCAAATCCTACGATTAGCATAAGAATGCGAGAGAAGCTGGAAGTCTTCAATCCCTCCCCCATACGCCTACTTCCTACGAATACTGTCGTCCTCCGGAAATCCCGCGTACACACCCTCACATACCAAAACACGAGCTCCCTTACCTGGAATACCTAACAGTAATGCGGCCAGATAGCGGCCGAGCTCACCAATAGTTTTGAATTGGAGGAGTATATGCAGCCGGCTGTCAAGGGATGTGTCTGATCGTGTACACGGAATCTTATACGGATTTAGTACAAGCGTTCATTGTTTGATTCCGGGATTGATAAGACGCACAGGATTAGACAGCGTTCAGAGTTGGCGATAACGCGCGTCGACACCTGCAACAGCGCTTCAATGCTACAGACTGGAACGCAGCCATAGACCGGTATTGGCGCCGGCCGCTACTTCTCTGAGAGACTATAGGAGAAGAGGAAGGGCTGGGTACGCGTCGCCTAACCAGACAGTCTGTTACCCTCCTAATCTTCTATACTCTCCCGGAACACGCGGCCAGCGACAATCGATACCCGCATATGGCTGCGTTCCTGTCTACACCATTGAGAGGCAGCTGCAATGGTAGCGTTGACGCGCGTCAATGTGAAGTCTGAAGGCTGCTTTAAGGGTTTCGCGCAGCGCGTGCAATCTGCATTTGATTGTAAGACACTGGATCCATTTCGAAGCTAATAGTCTTCCATTTTTTTTAATCTACCATCGCTAACTAAGGGAATTTGCAGTGCTGATTCAATCCTAGTATTGAGTTTTCTCACAGCACAGGTAGCCATAGCAGTTATAGATGGTCTTCAGGCTTCCACGAGGCAGTATTGGCTCGAACCGTCAACCTACAGCTGCTTATGAGTGACTTCCACTTTTCCACATTTGTTGTTTCAGACACCATACCACCTGTGATGAAATGCCCGGATTCTTACTCGTTGTCGGCCATTGAACCGAAAATGCGGGCTGTTTTCAACACGACTACCGTACCTATGGTCATCCAGGATGTTTCCAACATCACTGAAGTATGAATCATTTCCAATTTGCGTTTGTTCAACTCTGCTAGAATCGTTATTTGATTTATTACCACATGATGCTCCACGGTTTTCCAGGTGATATTCAATCCTCCTGAAGCAGTCCTAGAACCAGGCGATTTTGTTGAAGTTGAAGTGACAGCCACCGATGCGCTAGGAAATCGAAATCAGTGCAAATTTCAAGTGGCTTATATGCGTGAGTTATGCACTTCGCTTATTTATTTTATGAAGGGACCCTGCAGTGTTCTGCGGAGGAATTACGGATTAGGCAGCGTTTTTACTTCGCGATTCAGCGATTCTGCCGCGCGATTATATGATGGCTCTTAACAGTTGCTGGATTCTTATGGTTAGCTGCTAAGTCAGTCACGTTTGAGATAGACAAGCCTTCTGGCTGCAGGGACTCAACGATTAGCTGGAGGCGGGTCGCTCGTAATCGCGCGACTGAGTCGCTCGAATTCGACTCAGGTCATCGCAAAGTCTGAACGCTACAGAAGAGTAACGACTTCGAGACACTCATGACTGCTTTTTTCTTGTTTCGAGGTTCGTGAAGAAAATTATTTAGCCCAGCAATGTTCACCGGAATCGCTGTTATCCGCCAAGCACGTGGTGAAAAAGTGCGCGAAGAAAGATAATGTTATGCAATGCACCATATCTTGTGAAGAAGGATACCGTTTTGTGGACGAAGACAAGGTAATTTAATTGGTCGGAACAATTGCACTCAAAAATTATGGATTGATGATCACTCAAAATCGTATTTCTTTGACCTAAAATCAAAGAGAGTTCTCGTCTTAAAGAAGTGGGCGCGGTGGATGAGGGCGGGCGGTCACTGCCAACGTCAGTGGTGAGGGCTGAGTGGGGTTCAGCCAAACACCCTCTTGTAGCTGCTCGCCACCAACCACCGTACCTACCGCCTTTGACTGATGCGCGCGAATCGGAAACTGGACGACTTCGTTGAACCCCTTTGAAAAGCTCATTAACTTGAGATCGTTGAGTTATCAACTTACGGAAGTTAAGTAAATAGTACATTAGGCAACTCGATGAGTCATTTGCCATTCGTTTTCATTACCTAAAGTAAGTGATCTTTCAGGTAGCAAAGGAGTTCAAATGTGAATCAGGCGCTGGTTCCTTCTGGTCCTGTAAGAGTCTCGTGTGTCCCAGTGTGTAAGTCATGCACACAAACATTCTTTTTCACCATCAATGTGGCCTATTTATGGTTTTATGCTAATACGGTTTACTTATAGCTCGAGAACCAGCTCGCTACGAGCTAAATGTTGCTATCAGTTATCCAAGCACGTCACCAGTCCCTGAACACTGCCTCAAGGTGAGCATTTTTATCGAAGGTTTCATTGTGCAGTGTTCGGGGTTAGAAGCGTTGTCAAAGAACTGCTGAACTTGTAACGGTTTTATCTCGGTGTTGAATCGCTTGCAGCTGGGGCTTTCATTAGGGTGCATCATTGCAATATGTGGAATGGCGATGTTAGTAAACCCTTCCCCTTTGAACAGGTTTTAGGCGCCCATGGACTGCTCCACAGCATTTCATTTAATGCAGCCTCCCTTCCCTATCGCCACCTACCATCTCCCCGAGTTTTCGCAACTCTCAACAAACTTTTTGAATTTTAATGCAAAATAAGCTACAATAAGGAAATGTCAGGGAAAAAAAACTTGAATCTAGAAAGAAATATGAAGAGTAATCGAAAGAAAAAATCAGCTAAGTGTGGAAAAAAGTTTTAACCCAAAATGCCGTCGAGTTAAAGACAATTATCGCGATCAAGTATTGCGGGCAATTGTACTCTGTCATGCACCAGTATTCCATAGTTAGCTTCTCAGTAGAAAAAGAAGCAGAAAAATCTTCGGGAACACCTTGAACCCAAACCTACCTTTAGCAGTGGGGGCGGGGCCTGGACGAGTGTGCCGGGCGTGGCTGCCAGAATTCGATGCGGCAGCCGCAATTGCGTCCCAACTTTCGAAATAGGATACTTTCGAACGTAAGGCAGCGTTCATACTTGTAGCGCTACAGCGTCGCGCTACAGCGTCGCGCTACAGCGTCGCGCTACAGCGTAGCGCTACAGCGCCGCTTCGCAACGTACTGCAATTTCCAACGATGGGATGATTTAAGTGTGCTTACAGAGAAAATTGGGAAGGTTGCTGGAGTTTTCTTGAGAAATTGACAAGAAAAAAAGAAAAAGAAAGAAAATGACAACAAACCCCACTTGACAACAAATCTCCCTACCATTGGAAAAGCAAGCACTACATTCCATAAGCAAAAAAAACTAATGGTTCCGCACTTTCACACATGTTTACAAGCCTGACCGAAGTAAGACCTTTAGCTGAGCTATGAGCCAACTTTGGCAAAATGCCAGTGGGACCGCGGGCTTAAAGGGACGCGCGGGCTTTAAAGGGACGGATGCAGTTCGGGACCAGACGCCTCGTCCACCTACCGTCTCCGTGAGCCTAGCGAGCCTTGTCGAAATTGCGATAACTTCCTCATCGCGCGCCATTGATGGATAAAAGCGGGATCATCTTCATCAAGGCGCAGAGGGTTCCAGAAGGCGCGAAGTCATTTTGAAGGCCTCTCGAGCGCGGATACTGTCTTTAAGAGGCGAGCGAGGCAAGACGTGAACACTCAAACTAACTTTTTCGGGCTTGTGAACGTCAGAAAATAGTATGGGTTTTCTATATGGTAATTGTGCAACGCCGGCAGCGAGGGTGAGGGGAAGTTAAATTTTCCTGGAAGGCAGACAAGTCTCTCCTTCCTTCCCAGCGACCAGGTACTATCCCTTCCCCTAATGGGACTCTTCCAACGATTCTCTTCTCTAGCTCTCATAGATGTTCTCTATAACTTCGATATCGAACGTATTATAAGATCCGTAAGCAGCAATAGTCAGCAGTCGGGATGGGGCCACAGTAGCTTCCTATAAGCCGTCCATGTCGGTAAACCCTAATCCTAATGGGTTGTTTGGTGCAATAACGCAACGTCTTTTTCGCTGCCGATGCTGAGGCGTGTCGAAGAGCTGGGTTTGGCGTGGCGCCCACCCGTTCTCCACCAATTGATGTCGCTTTCACCGCTTCAATAAGGGGCAGCTGCCTGGTGCCACGCTAAAACGAGCCTACGTGGTACGTCTCAGCATCCGCAGTGAACAGGACTATAGCTATAAGGGGTCAGCCTACCATCGCTGGTGATGAACAATTCGACGAAGATAGTCACAGATATTATCAGCATTACTTCAGGGTTATGCCGCTCTAGCCACCACCATTTTCGATCCTCTTGATGAGGTACTCAGTCAGAGGTGTTCCAGCTCAGTACAGGTCTTCGTGAGATTCCTGGACGCCGAGTTTGTCAATGAAAAAGGCGTGGTTAGTTGCTTTTTCTGAAGTTTTTGAAGGCAAGCATCTTCAAAGGTTCCTACTGTGAGCTTAAGATTAACGGCAACTACACAGTTCAAATTCTACCAACTGTTCTTCAAAGTGTTTTCTATGATCTTTGTGGTCTCACGCTCAGAACAATTTTCGACCTACGCATACCGGGTGAGTGCTTGTAAGATATGTAACGCCTCCCTCTCCTAGTAGTGTTATAAAGCCTTTTCTATTGGAATCGGCAGACTTATTGGTAAACATCGCTTTGAGTTCAGGTGCCACCACTCCCATCCGTAATCTTCTTTCGCTCAACGGAGAGTCAATTCCTTCTCAAGGTCTCGGCTGCCCTCAGTTAACTGCTTCTAAGTGAGTTTCGGTTGGAGTCTGTCAAATGCTTTTTAAATGCTGCGGTTACATCTTTTAGGTCGTCTATAAGTCAAGGATTCGGTTGTGTCGACGGTGAAGTGTTGCGGCAAGGAGA